AATAAATTTATTTAAATTTTTAAGATTAAAAATAAAACGCTTTGAACCGTCAGGCTTTGGTACCAGAAAAAAAGGAGAAATAAATTGTTCCTCAACCTCTTCACATTCCTCAATTGCACCTTTTAATAGAAGCTCATGGACTTCTATTTGAATTTTTTGCATTTCCTCAGAAGAAAAAATTTTTTCTTCTGGTGAAATTGATTGAAAAGGTGTTTCTGTAAACGGGATTTTGTATCCATTTACATACTCCAAGACATGTCTGTCTGAAGTGATTTCATTCCACCTCTCCAAAAAATGACACAGACGACCTGCAATCTTTTTTACCTTTATTTCCTGGATGATGACTGGCTCGTCGTCCGAGAGACTGGTTTCGATGGACGTTGCGTCGACGGGTAAGATTTCGGCCTGAATTTTATCACTCGACGTTTCTGTTGATAACCCACCTGACGATTGCTCGCCGGTGGGTATTTCCCGTTTCCCTGGTCACGGGTCTTTGTTGTCACTTTTGCAGGTTTATCTTTAATGTCGGCACATGCTTTTTCAATTTCTTTCATGTCTTTGACTTTGTCTTTTAAATTATCCCCATACAGCCATTCTTTAGATATCATAGTTTCTACCAGCGGTTTAATATTTTTATTAAGTTGCGGTGTGATGTATGATTTTCTTGCCACTGATTGTTGGTAGTAAACATCTGACAAGATTTGGCCTGCATGGCTTATGTAATCTGTAAACAGATCTTCGTCCAAGCCCTCTTCCGGTGGCTCTAGCAATAATGAGACAGCCGCACCTAATGCAGATAACGCCGTACCGACACAGCTTTGCGTATCCGCGAAATGCTGGTCTCTTTTCTTGGCGATGTCAGTTAATAAAGGCCCTAACTCTAAATTTAGCTTAGGGGATTCTGTATAGAAATCTCCTTTCGTATTATAAGACTCCAGTATGTCTTTTTTATTTTTCTCGGGAAGACCTTCAATCATCCATTTGGACCACGTGTTGTTTAATTCTGACATGTACTTAGCTTCTTTGTAAGTACAAGTTTGGTCCATTCCGAGGATTTTGCTAGCACTGTCCTTGGCTGATACTTGCTCAGCTTGACTCTCTGGAGTCGTCTCAGTTACCTGTGGGGATGTTTTTATTTCCACCAAAGCATCTGTGCTTTTCTCAGTATCATTACTTAAGCCAACTTCTATAACAGAAAATAAATATAGGAATTAACATAAGCTCTTATTGTGCATTTTTGTGATTTTTATGTTCTTATTGAACCCAACCACCATTAATTCCTTTATGGTCGTGAGGACCCGGTAATACCGTATGGGTATTACCCCTCAACTTTCGTATGGAAAGAAGAGTATTTGATACTGAGAGTATTAATAAAATTTACTCAATTTTATTCTTACCTGAATTATTTGTGACTGTATTTTCAACAGTTACAGCATTCGTTTTCAAAGATATTATGCTTTGGGCCAATGTGTTTACGGTTGTTGTGAGGTTATCCATTTGTGCCTGTAACTTTTCAAATTTTTCGTCCCTTCTACGTTTTCTGTCTCGTGATCGAGATCTTGATCGTGATCTTGAATGTTTTTTACCCATTTTGGTAAAAAAAATAAATTTATTTTATTCAAATTGAATAATTATTTGTATTTAATTTAACAATAAACGTGTTGATTGTAAGCACAACGAAACAATATGAGAAGTAGAGGGCGTAAAGCTAGGTAAGATGGCGGTAAGGCGCCAGAATATTTCAAATTTAAAACTTTAAACGTTGTGGATTTAAGCATGACAAGCATGACTACATAATTATCATCGAGAACGAGACATGTAATATAA